TAATAAATATATTTATAATACATAATATATACATCAATTTCAGCCAAACGCGATGTTATTGCGAAAATTAAGAAACTTAGGAATTCGTACTTTCGGACTAATATTTTTCTTGTCTATTTCTTTACAGGGGAGTTAAAAGAGGAACAAAGAGAATTTTGAGATCTCAACCATAAGATACGAATTTCTAAGTTCCTTAATTTTCGCAATAACATCGCGTTTGGCTCTATTAGCCGAGATGGATGTATATATTATGTATTTATTTCGAGAGTTGACTAAATATTCTTACTATATTTATAATATTTACCATAATATTTATCGTAAATATTTTCTGATATTTATGATAAATATTTATAAAATAATCTAAGACTCCAAAAATATTTATGATAAATATTAAAACCGTGTATTTGCTCGTCGTGATGTTCGATCTATGGGATCGGCCAAACATCTCAATAGAGCGATCAATCCGTAAGAAATATACTGACGTTTTGTAATTTGACTCAACACGACATGCACTAATTCGGCGATAAAATTGCGACTTACAATCACTTATGATCATCTACTTTTAATTCTTATACTGAAGAAGACCGTGTGCGGTCGAAACGTTTGTACTGTATTATCTTATATAGAATAAATACTTAGTTTATATCATCTAATAATGCTCGATTAGTTGGCCTTTTTATATACTAAATTTTATGATAAATAAGTAAAACTCTTCTCTCGACCGTACTGGCAAATATTATTTATTAAATCACAAGGTTTCGACCCTTCTTTGAGTCCTAATCAAGTGATTTGTGAAAATAAAAATAAAATTATAATTTTAAGATGTCAAGAACGAATATAGTGTCGGTTTGACAACACGTCAAGACTCTTAGACGAGTTATGAGAGACTGAAAAATATCTACGTTTTTATTTTTTTATGATAAATATTTAAAATATTAAAATTATAATTATAAATATTTTATAAATATTCTGTGTTGTCTGGGCTATTCATTGAAATGAGCAAAAAAGTTCATATGGACAAATACCAAAAAATGTCATTTTTTTCCTTATAATCAGTGTTTGCTGTTATCTAAATAAAATTATATAGATGATTATCTAGATAATATTTTGGCGTATTTTTATATAGATGATATAAAAATATATAATATCTGCATCTGCATCTCTGATAAAAGTGTTATTTTTACTAAATTATCTAGAATAATATTCAGATAATTTTAAAACTTAAACAGTAAGCGATAAAAAGTTACAAATAAAAGTATATATATGATCCAGACAGCACAGAATATTTATAAAATATTTACAGAATATTTATAATTAATTAATGAAAGGCTCGTATAAATTAATAAAATTAAAAAAAGTTAAATATTGTAGGCCAACTAAACGAGCAAAATTAAATAAGATCTAAAGATTTATTAATAATTAAATAATTAAATTCTCATTTCGTTAGAGAAACAATATACATCGTAAACGTTTCGACTGCACTACAGTCTTCTTCAATACATAAAAATCAAATATTAAAATACAAAGTTAAATATTAAAATACAAAGTTAAATATTAAAATACAAAGTTAAATATTAAAATACAAAGTTAAATATTAAAATACAAAGTTAAACAATTTTTCGCTGATGACCAATGGATGAGTAAGACGATTGGTCTGAGATTCCAAGTTTTGCGACATTTAATCATGATTATCGTTTTAACAAGTTCTTCTTCTCGACAATTTTAAGTGTGTGTTGCGAAGTCTAAATAACAAATGTCCGCACAAAGGGACACACACGTGTGTGAAAAATTGTTTAATTTTGTATTTTAATATTTAACTTTGTATTTTAATATTTAACTTTGTATTTTAATATTTGATTTTTATGTATTGAAGAAGACTGTAGTGCAGTCGAAACGTTTACGATGTATATTGTTTCTCTAACGGAATGAGAATTTAATTATTTAATTATTAATAAATTTTTAGATCTTATTTAATTTTGCTCGTTTAGTTGGCCTACAATATTTAATTTTTTTTAATTTTCAGAATATTTATATTTTAATATTTTATAAATATTTATCATAAATATTTTATATATGATTTTGGAGTCTTAAATTTAATAGATCATAAATATTTATCATAAATATCAAAATATTTACAATAAATATATTATGGTAAATATTATAAATATATTTATTAAATCATTATAATACAGATTTTTTAAAATTTATATTTTCTTTAATAAATACTCAGTACAAAATCATGAGTTAAAAAGACATAATCAACGATTTTTTAAAATCGTTTGGTTTTTAAAATTAAAATAATCGACTATAATATTAGTCTGATCTAAAATTTAGTCGATTATATGTTTTTGTGTTTTTCAAATTCTATTAGTCATGTATAAAAAGTTAAACATGTGTAAAAAATGTTTATAAGTAACTGTTACGTCCAGACTCAAGAAAGGAAGAGTCAGAGAAAGGATGTAACTACTGTTTTTGTCGAACGACGCTGAACGGTGCACCTGTCCGACCCAAACAAACGTGCGAAGGTCCAAATAGGTCAACGACCGAGCAGGTCGCTATTACTCTATTTAAAAGGGCTGTTCGTCGGAGGTCCCTTTTCGGCAAGAGAATTTAATCTCTTTTGCTCGAGATGGGACCTTGTGCGACTTTTGGTTTGAAAAGGGATGAGAGTGGGGTTTTTATTTATTTCAATTGAATAAGTTCAAATTGATAGGTAGAATAATTATTTATTATTATTTTTATTGTCAAATTTACGACCAGATCACGAAACAAAGATATTCATACATTAAAATATACTTAAATTCTACTCAAATATACATAACAGTGTGTGTGCATGGGTGTGTGTGTGTATATAGATTCTCGCGGGTGTTATATTAGTCCGGAGGTCATCAAAAGGGACTGGTGAGCAGTGTTAAAATATTTTAGGGTCCCGATTGGTTAATACAAATTATTTTTATCGATAATAAATACATTATGTGTAAGTGTGTGTGTGGAGGGTCATGGGGAATCGGAAGTTTTGGAGGAGAAAAGAGAAAGGTGAAAATAATTTTCGGGAACTCCTTTTTTTATATATATAAGATATATATATATATATATATATATATATATATATTTTACTCCATTTTATTTCTTAGTTCGCTCAGTCAGACTTACCAAAAGGAGAAACCACGGATTACTCTGCTAACGCGGAGAATTCAGAGTGATTTTGAGAGAGAGGGAAAAGTAGGAGAAAATCACGGATTGCTCTGCTATTGCACGGAATCTAGAGTGATTTTCGAGAAAGAGGGAGACAAGAAACCACGGATTACTCAGCTAACGCGGAGAATCTAGGGTAATTTCGAGAGAGAGAGAGAGAGAGAGAGAGAGAGAGAGAGAGAGAGAGAGAGGGAGAGAGAGAAGGGAATGATTGGTTGTCAAATCTCACAGCGAAATAAGAAGATTAAAATAAAAATTTAATAATTTAGTTGAATTTCCGGGATTATTTTGAGTACGAGAATGAGATGTGCGCCTTTAAGCGTGTATAAATTAAGAGTTTAACAAGACTCTGTAATATAAATATAAATTTAAAGTGTAAAACAGGCATATTTTTCTCTCGCATTTATTTCCTTAGGGGGGAACAAGGGATGTATGGAATTAAATCTCTTGTAGAGATTATTTCAATTTTAAATCTTGGCCGTGACCAAGTAAAATTTGGTGCCTTGTGTACAGGTATTTAATTCTAACGAAAAAATTTAGTTTCGCGTTGGGATAATGCACTGTCATCCGCGATTTGGCTCTTATTGCCAGTCTTACACTTAAAATATTTTATCTATGTTTTAATAATATGTTAAACAAAGGTTTTTATAAAAATACTCAGTAAGAAATCATGAGTTAAAAATACATAATCAACGATTTTTTAATCAAAATGATCGGTTTTGTGTTTTTCAAACACTATTAGTTATACTTTTTATTACTTTTTATAAAACATTTTCAAAATATTTATATAATATTTGAAACAAATATATATTCATAAATATTTATGAATCTTTATCATAAATATTGTCTTCTGTCTGGGGAATATATCCCTTTTATTTTTTTTATAACTGTGTTTATATTAGCAGTCTTAAAAAAATATCTGGAAGTTATGTAGATAAATCACTATATAATTATATTTTTTATCTAGATATATTTAAATTCAAAATTATCTTCATTTTATGTAAGATAAATATACTATTTCTATCTTATCTTTTCTTATATCTTATCTTTAAGATTATATCTTATCTTTATCTTGCTAATTTTTAAAATCATCTAATCGCACAATACCGATTATAATACAGTCATATTTAAGTTGAAACTTAAGATAATAATTAGCGTGTTATATTGTATTTCCAATAATACAAAACAAAAGTCGAAAATAAAAGTTTAAGTAAAATAATAATAATATGATATTGCGCTATTTATATACATTATTAGTTGATTCTAACATCGTGTGATATAATATGCATTCTGAGCAATAAATTTTGCAATAAATTGTAATATTTTAGTATAAAGAATTTTCAAAAATAATTTTTTCTTTTTTATACTTTATGATTTTTGATACTTGTGTATTTAAAAGTATAATAAATTAAAATAAATACGTGCGAATAAAATACGCGTTTATTTATTCATCTTTGGTTATCAATTTTCTGATAAATATAGAAGCATTCCCAGCTAGAAATGAATGATCAAATCGACGTTGTATCAACATCGATTCGACGGCGATTTATCCGATCGACGTCGATTCAATGTCGAATCGATGACGTGACGAATTGACGTCGATTCGATGACGAATTTAACGTTAATTTGATATGATTTCTGGGTTGGTATATACTATAACATATATTACATTGTAGCGTATTCGGCACCTTGCACTGAGTGTACATAAAGATTTATCGCACATAAATTTACAATGACATAAAAATAATTAAAAAAGTAAAATATATATATATATATATATATAATTAATAGAAAGAGCTATTACTATTGTTGTTTGATACAAATAATAATAATAATAATAGCTTTTACTGTTAATTACTTTACTTCTTTAATCACCAATGTCATTGTAAATTTGTGTGCGATAACTTTTATAGCACTCACAATCAGTACAAGGTGTCGAAGGAGGAATTCATTATTAGTATCTGCTTTCTCGTGTATAGAGAAGACTCGCATAATAAAGTACATATTAGAAATATAGACGTATCTCTCTTTGTATAAGTAGTTGGGTATATTTTCGGAATGTTAACTATTGTGTATTTTTATTTTCTGTTATTTATTGTGACAACGGCAATGTGCGTCAAAGTAAATTTGTCGTGTTCTTGTAAATATATGTTCTATTTTCTACATTTATTGGCATTACGTGAATAATATTAAGATGATTCTACACACAATCCTGTTTTATCGATAAAACATCATATCAATAGAAACAAAATTTTTGTTGTTTTTAACATAAAATCGGTAGGTTCACACTTTGTTTCTATATGTACTTTAATCGTGGAAAAGCATTTATTATTCTATTCAATCAATAAAAAAAAAGCGTGCACAAAAATGTTTTATCAATAAAACAGACGGCGTTTAGGATTCTTTTAAGACTGTACGTATTATGTGTGTATTATTATTGTTTACAGGCCGCCAGCCGGATTCAAAATTTGCGACTGGTGTCAATCTTATTTATTATAAGTGGTTTGTATTTGGAAAAGTTTAAAATAATAATTATTAATAATAAAATTAAATAAATATTTGCGCTTTATAATAGCAATAATCAAACTCCTGCAACGATCGTTTGCCCCATCACAGCTCCAGAAGGATTATTAAAAGTGTTAGAAAATAAGCGAACAATATTTTATGTATTTGGATTTGGACAAACCCCGGAAAAGGCAAATGTTAAGTTAATAATGGAAGGTATCGAGTTTATATGATAGACGCAAATAAGTCATTACTAAATCAAATAAATTTAAGAGACAATCTAAGCTTTTTTTTGCATTATCAGCATTCTGTTATAAAAGAACGGACAATGTCGTGTTACTCGATTGGAGTAAATATTCTACAAGCACTTACTGGAATGCATTTCGAAACGGCGAAAAAGTAGGCAGTTTATTTGCTAGAAGTATACGACTGCTTGTTAATAGTGGCCTCAATGTATCAAAGATTTATATTGTCGCGCACTCCTTGGGTGTTCACATAGCTGGTTTTGCTGGTAAATGTAATAACTTCGTGATACCTCGTATTACAGGTAATTAAGGGAATTCTGCTAAAACTGTCCTGTTTTACCGATAAAATGATTATTTTTGTAAAAAATTTAAAAAATAAAATATTTTTTTTGTTTTTAACGTAAAGCTGGTAGGTTGCAATTTTGTTTCTAATATGTACTTTAATTGTAGTAAAGTATATTTATTATTCTATTCAAATAAAAAGAAAAACGTGCACAAAAATAATTATTTAAAGCAGGGACTTACCGTTTTTATGTTATAAACAACAAAAATTTTAATTTTTTTGTCGATAGTCTTAAGATGATGCCAAACTATCTGTTTTATCAACTGAATGATTATTCTTTTTAGATAAGTTATTCTTTTTACTGGCCGTTTTATTAGCATCATACTCATTTTCCCCTTAAACATACTCATAATTTTTATCAAGTTTTTATTTATAACAAAATAAAAGTTAATCCATGAAAAAATCTGTAATCTGACATTGCAGTTTTAAAATCAATGTAAAATTATTATTTATAGGATTAGATCCTGCAAATCCTGCGTTTTATCCTTTGGGATGCTATCTTAAATCTACAGATGCAGCATCGATATCATTTATACGGATATGGGAAAATATAGCACTTTTGCACGTATAGGAACAGCAAATTATTACGCAAACGGTGGTACTCGTCCTCAGCCTGGTTGCATGCTTCATGGCTTACCATTAAGTCAGACTGGTATAAGAATCAAAATGACTGAATATATATATATCTATACGAGGGCAGTCCGATAAGTACTTAGCCTTATCGCCCGATGGTGCCAGTATCGCAAGAGAGTTTTACTATCGTGTAGTACATTCTCGTAGACGGCTACTGTCAAAATTTCAGCCGAATCGGACTCGTAGTTTTGTTTTGACCGCGTGTGGAAGCGGGCGTGTCCGCGGATTTTAGAAAAATGGAAAAAGAGCAATATCGGTCGGTGATTCAATTCTTGTTTTTGGAAGAGAAATCGCGCAGCAAAATCAAAGATATCGAAAGAAAGAAAAAAAGATTCTTCATTTCGACATCTTTGATTTCGCTGCGCGATTTCTCTTCCAAAAACAAGAATCGAATCACCGACCGATATTGCTCTTTTTCCATTTTTCTAAAATCCGCGGACACGCCCGCTTCCACACGCGGTCAAAACAAAACTACGAGTCCGATTCGGCTGAAATTTTGACAGTAGCCGTCTACGAGAATGTACTACACGATAGTAAAACTCTCTTGCGATACTGGCACCATCTGGCGATGAGGCTAAGTACTTATCGGACTGCCCTCGTATATGCCATCACTAATCTTAATATATGAAAACAAGTGTCCTGACTGACTCACTCATCAACGACTTTGCTCTTGCTTACAAAGGTTACCCATGCAAATACCTAAAAATCAATTTCTGCATTTTATCCCAATCATTCCCTAAGGGGTGGAAAAAGGAAGAATGTGTTTTTACAAATTTCTCAATATTTCCGAAGCTTGATGAGATATCGATTTCGTTATTGCTTACAAAGTTTACTCATATAAATATGTAAAAGTAAATTTCTACATTTTACCCCAATTATCTCTTATGGGGGGAGGGGGGAAGAAGGAAATTAATTTTTAAAAATTTCCCAATATTTCCGAAGCCTCATGAAATATAGACTTCGTAATTGCTTTCAAAAGTTATTCATACAAATACCAAAAAATCTAAATTAGTGTGCTCGGAATTAGTTGCCCTTTTCGAGCCGATATCAGAAGCGATGCCTTTCGGTTGACGACCGAGCCGCCGATCACTCGGGTAAACGCTATGCCTCAGGAGTGTCCTTATACAAAAAGTATGCTGGGATTGAACCTTTTGCCAAATCGTCATTATTTTGTTAATATATGTTTAAAATAGATTACATTTATAATTATATTAATAATATAAATTTTAATATTCAATTGTTATTTAATAAAAATAAAAATTATGTAACAAAAACATAACGATTTGGCGGAAGGTACAATCCCATATATAGGGTCACTCCTGAGACATAGCGTTGCTCGAACAATCGGTGACTTGACAATTGAGCCTTGAATGGTAGTGGAGAGGGGGAGGGATAAAGGCTTTTGATATCGACTCGAAAAGAGCAACAAATTCCGAGCACTGATCTAAATAAATTCAATACAATTGCGCTATACTTGAATTTAAATGAATTGATTTTTTCCGAATATAATGACTGTGGCAATCAAATCACATAGTAAGAATACAATTTTATATAGTTATATTAGTTCTCTCGTCACGGCTTTGCCTGAATTCTTCATGTGTAGAATTTGAAATTTATAAAAGTTTATTTACGACAATACATAATGTCATACGATGATCTACTTAAGGACTTCCTTATAGATTACGTTGATATGTAGTTTTACCTTCAGGTGTCAGGATTACTAGACTACTGGGTGAACTTACTCGAGAGCAGATCATGTAGAATTACCCATGTAAAAAGCAGCTTTCTCTTAAATCAATTTCTGCCACTTTAAGCAACTGTCCTTGGGACGTATTTATTGTCATAGTAAAGCAGATTTTTAATGGGGACTGCAGCCTTTTAAATTCACGGATCTGATGGTGTGAGTGGTGTATGTGGTATGAACACTGACTCTCCCATAGCACAGCCGGTAAATACTGTTGCTTTGATTACGTTTCTTTCGAGGATTTTCACTTGAGAAATTTCGAATTCTATGTATGAAGAGTTCGGGCGAAACCGTGACGAGGGAACGCTAATTCTTTACAAATCAGTATTCATTGCTTAAGGTGATTCTAAACGCCGTTTTATCGATAAAACATTATTTTTGTGCGCACTTTTTTCTTTTTATTGATTGAATAAAATAATAAATGCTTTTCCATGATTAAAGTACATATAGTAGAAACAAAGCGCGAACTTACTGATTTTATGTTAAGACAAAGAAAGTTAATTTCTTAATTTAAAAATTCTTTTTGTTTTTAATATAAAATTGATAGGTTCGCACTTTGTTTCTATATGCACCAAATATTTATGCTGTTATTTTGTTAGATCTTTGCAGTCATCAAAGATCAGTCAAACTGTATGCAGAATCGAAACGTCATCCTACAAAATTTATTGCGGCACAGTGTTCTTCCTATGTTAATTATATAAAAAATAAATGCAAAAATAATCTGCAGACTAACGTTGAATATGCTGCACCGAATGTGTAAGACGATAATTAATATTTTATTTGTTTGTTATCCTAGTATAAGCATTTCTTTGAAATTTATTTTTATAATAACAAAAATAATGGACAATTTCTTACAGACGCGGATTATTTTATTTCCGTACAGGATCTTTATAATGAGAATTACTTTTCTGCCAACACTAGACGTGAAAGATACGTTCTGTATTGGTCACAAAGTTGCAAAAAAAATATGATAACGTCTTTTGCACGTTGCCGCGACGTAACGTATATAAAAGAATTTAATTAGCTGATATGTCGGATTGTTTATTAGTTTTGTAGTTGTTTTTATAAAAATAAATTAAAATAAGCATATATCTTGTTTCTAAAATATAAATTTAACATGAAATTGTTACGTCGCGTCGCAAAGACATCGCAAAGACGTTACAGCATTTCAGTTACATTGTAGCAAATTATAATTTTACAAGTTGCAACGTAATATTGGAGAAACATTATAAGAACATATGTAACTATAATATTTTATTAGAAATATTACAGCAATATTTTAAAAATATTATAAAAACCAGTATTTATTATTAATCATTAATTCCTTTATTTACCGCTATGCGGCGCGCGATGCGCTTTCTTTTTCGTATTTGAAATTTGTTATGAAAATTATATAAGTAATACTCTACGCAAAATTGGAGAATTCGAAGAAGTATGGTTGTAGCGCGTAGAGAGAGTAGGCGTAGTATTTCAAAGTACTCAAGTAATGAAAAGATTAACGAGTGCAAACTATTGTGAGGCATAGGAACGCTAGTGAAGGTGCTGGGTGTTTGATAGAAGCGAGCGTGCTTTGTGTGGGTGTCGAAATCCGCAAAAAGTGTATCGAAAAACGGAGCACAACCGGCGAGCGTGTCGGAGCTGTTAGACAAGGGGCGTGCGTGCCTTCTGGAATAATTTCTCGTATAATAAACTTGCTTCCATTACTGTCAAATAAAAGTGTTGTGCAATATCCTGTGGAAGTGTCCTGTAAAACATTTATTTCCCCCATTGGTGTCCTACACAACGTAACGTGTGACGAGAATAAATTATATAAATTATCCCCGGAATAAATTATCTTGCGGAGTATAGAAAGAAATTTTAATAAGACAATACAATACAATGTAATATGCCGCGGCAATTAAATACAATATAATGTGCATTAATCCACGGTATAATGATGTCGCTATGTAATAAGCTATCGGAGGAAACGTCCTCACGGCACGACAGCTCGGAAACGAATCTAATCATGGCGCCCAAAAACATCCGAAGCCTGGGGGTTATTTATCAATAACCCCTTTAACGACACGTTCTCCCGGAAACATTAAGGGGTTGCATTCACAGATTTCGGAAACTCAGTAGATCCAGGGGCGTAACAATATATATATATATTGTAACCGTTGATTATTTTTATACAGTCGGATAGATAATGATCCGAGAAATAGGGCCGATGTAATTGGCCGACGGCACACTTTCGGCGCGGAAAACGGGAAATTCGCGAAGACACCATAAAATTTTGTTTGCTTGGGCGCCAGGCGCGAGATTCGCGCCACTCTGAAAATTCACAAATCGGCAGAGAATCTTCATAAATCGTAAATCATCCTGCAAATTTCCGCGACGGCAATAATCGACTCGCTTAGATCGTCAGGGGGTAGAGGGGGGAGTTCGGACGGGAGAGAGAACGGAGTTCAAGAGTGGCTATTTAGAATGCTCCAATGTAATAATGATGAAATATATTTTAACAATACGGCGAACGAAAGGTAGACAAAAAAATATATATAACAGTGTGAGTAATCTGGTGTACAAGAGAAAAATTTTAATATAATATCATGTCGATACGCTACTAATTGAAATCCGCGCACTCGTTCGTGGCGGGCGGAGAGCGTTATACGACGTCGGAACGCAAAGAAATCGAAATCGGATATTACTTTCGTCCAGATAATGTACGGCGAAAGTACGGCCGAAACGCGGCGCGTTGTTATGGTCTCGTGACTTTGTGACGACCCGACGAGGAGATATCACGTTACGCGCGGAACCCGAGAGTACTGGTCCGTATGCGTAGCGAATAATTCTTCACGCACGAGACTTCATATGGTCCGTGCGAAATAAGAAATTCTAATAACCGCGGCCCTACGAAATCTCCCGTAAGCTATAGTAGGTTCCGCGCGATTTTCACCTGATATCTATTACGCGGGACGTCCTCCGCGCAAGTACACAAAAATAACTAAACGACCCGAATAATCGTAAGCGCGAGAAAGAATACGTTATCTCATGTGCGACTGTAGAGACGAATACTTAATAAGACGGATAAATTCGAACAGACTAGAGACGGCACAATAATTACAAAGACACAAATTTATTTCCAAATAACGGTATAAGGAAATCGCGGCGACTGTCGGCGTATCCGCGGGAAAGAGAGCCTCTCTTAATATGCGCGCGGGAGAGAACACGCGGTCGGCCGAGCACCGGGACAAGATTCTACGCGTAATACTTCGGAATTTTTTCTCAATCTCTCAAAACGACGAAGACTACTAATGATTAACCGGTCGCGGGCGTGACACGTGTCTCTCCCGAACAACCTACGCAAAAATTAGCGGCTTTACAAGTATAGGGCCGTTCGTCTCACCGGTTGCTGCGTGTTCTTTGATGCTTCGACATCTGCAATCTGGAACCTCTGCTTTCGGCCACGTTCCGCCAAACAGTGATGAGCGAGAGGCCTGCCGGGATCACGCCGATAAGAATTTGGGCGTTTTCCACCCGTGGCGCTCCTTATCCTGACAGGGCCGCCGGGCGTCCCGCGGGGCCCTGCGAATTCGCTCGATATTAATTTCTCTCGCCGTTCCTCTGTTCTCCCGCCTTGAGTTCCGCTGTTCCTCTATACATTTCGTCGAGAAGAATCCTACAAGCGCACCCCTTTGCTGTTCCTCCAAAAATCCGCCCGATCGATTGATTGATCGATCCCGAATTTTTGTATATCCGGATAGGCTGCGGCTCGAGGCAGTGTATCTCCCGCGTCTTTTGCGTCCGAGGCTCTCTCGCCTCTCACGAGAGAGTGGCCATCCCCGTCTCTTGCCGGAATCTCTGCGGAAGAAGGAGTATTTTGTGGCGGTATCCAGGTTCTTAAAGGGAGGAGCAATCCAGAAAATCTGTGTGTGAACAATATTTACCGGGCGTGATCCGGACGTGGTTGCCTCTGTTCGGTCCGAAATCGTCCTCTCACTCTCTCTCTCTCTCTCTCTCTCTCTCTCTCTCTCTCTCTTTTTCGACTTCTCTGGTTGAGACACGTACCCTATGTAAAGTCGCTCGCCAAAACGCAAAAATCGCTAAAAAAAATATAAATAAAAGTAATACGTGGAACGGACGCGCGGGGCGCATCCTCCGACGCGGAAAACGCAAAAATTATTTTTTGGGTGCTCTCTCTCTCTCTCAAAGGTTGGCGAGAGAGCAAAGGTTCCCGAATTTCCCGCCTTCCCGGCCGAGCCTTCGGCCCTTGTGACGGACAAAAAAAATGTCACGTCACAATATATATATATATATATATATATATATATATATATATATATATATTTAGATAATTAGATCGAAATAAAAATTAGTTATATTTACATATTAAAAATGATATAAATGTACGGAGTTATCTATTTTATTCAACAATATTTTTAAAAATTAATCACACAGATACAATATTAATATTATTTTTTTTATTAGCTTTAATAATTAATTCCATGATTTCTTAAGTTTTAAAATTATTTTGTTCTGTTGAGAAACATTTAATTATAACAGAAATACATACTAGGTATCTCATTTTAAAGGACCTACTCAAATATCTCAGAAATACTGCGTTAAATAAAAAAATGTTTTATACAAAAGTTGTAGGATTTCGAGGACATGTAATGGTGACCTTGAGGTTATTTGAAGGTCATTTGAAGGTCAATTCTAAAATCTTAAATAGAAACCCCTATTTTTTATTTGACGTTCTTGTAACTGACATCGAGATGTTTTCAAAACACTATATTTTGATTGTTTTTGGCTAAGTACTTTCCGAGTTATAAGACTTGAAAGTTACAGTACTGCCGGCATTAGCATTACCTAAGATGTTTGAAGAACGATTCTGTCAATAAAGGCAAAATCGATGGTTGATCCATCTAATGAAGGCAAGATCGATGGTTGATCCAACCAATGAAGGCAAGATCGATGGTTGATCTAACCAATAAAGGCAAGATCGGTGGTTGATTCATTCAATGAAGGCAAGATCGGTGGCTAATCCGGCCAATGAACGTTGAGTGTAAATAGTTAGATTCAATAATAATAAGTAAGAACTAATGGTGAGCAGACTGCATTACGAAATTCATCGAAGAAAATATCATGTAGCTTTACAAAAGGCTGATGTAGATTATCTGGCTACAGTAATACTTCAATTAATTAGGTGTTCGAAGGTCGCACCATTGACTTGTTGGCAGTACTGAATACGGCGTTCAAAATGTCTAACAGCACACAAGAGTATATTACGTGAAATATTGCACGCAGCTCGGATTCTCTCCTTCATGTCATCTCTTGTCGTCGGTGTATTCCAGTAGACTGCATCTTTGAGGTAGGCCCACAAATAAAAATCAAGAGATGTTAAATCAGGCGATCTTGTTGGCCATTTCACTGGATCGCCTCTACCAATCCATTGATTAGAAAAGTTTTGACTATATTGGCAAAATGAGGATCTACTCCATCTTGTTGCAACCACATTCTCCTCCTCGTATCGATGTCAACATCTTGAAGTAAACCCGGAAGATCGTCCCTCAGCAACTGTAAATTAGTCTCACCATTAATCATGGCATCAAAAAATAAGGACCAATTAAATAGCCATTAATAATTCCGCACAATCAGACAGTTAGGCTCCAACGATGCTGGTTATCAATCTGCCTCATCCAATGAGGATTAACTGGAGCCCAATAATGACAATTATGTCTATTCAATATTCCAGTATTGTAGAAAGTAGCTTCAACACTGAAAAGTACATAATTGAAAAATTCGCCGTCGTTTCGGATTTGTTGTGATGCCCTGACAAAACAATAGCCGATCTCTGTGATCTTGGTTAGTTAAGGCTTGGTTAAGAGTTATGAGATAAGGATGACATCTCACAGCTCTTATTGTTAGATATTTACTAGCAGTCGAGTTTGG